GAATTTTAAAAGCCTAGATAAAATGTTGAAAACACTCAGTTAAGGTTGCCAGCTCAAAATTCTAAAAACTAGACATATTATGATGTAAGCCTAGTAATTGAAGTTGTCATATTTCGAAAAATTAATTAAGTGAATGAAGTCGTATATTAAATCTGGCGCATATTTTCTCCAATGGGATCTTCTATTATGGGAAGTCCTCTGAGATAGAAGTCTTCTATTGGGAGACAAGGGTATACTATTTTGAGGAATAAAAAATAGTCGCTCCAATAGAGACTGGCGTGAGTACCGTGACCGTAACCGTGACCAAAAAATATTGATCACGCCGATGTCTAATCGAGATTACATGAATATCATTTCTTTTTAATCATCCAACGACCATTCCATTTTCTTACAAATCGTGCCGTAAAAACGCAAATTTGTGAGAACTTTGTTCTCTGTGGACAGCTGATAATAGATAATTAAACAAAAAATCGATGGTGTCTTCTAGAAGCATGTTGATATGCGTTAGAAGAGTTCTCGTATTGGTCATATCTACTTTAAAATTCCTTGGCACTTTCGATTAGTGGAATGACCTAAATGTAAATAATTCGAGTTTTCCATGAGAGCGGCAGGAAAGAAATTCGTTGCTGTAAACTATATCTCGAGTGGAAAAGCATTGTGTGATTAATCGTAGAAACCATTATTTTTTTAGGAGACACGAATTTTTTTCAATAATTGACAGTTGAAGCTTCACACTGCATTTGGCAATCGAGTGAAACTCAAATACCATCTAGTTTATTCTCAAGTCTGGAACTTGAATAGTATTGAGATGCGCGTACATTGACTATCTCTGATAAGCTTTTAATCAAATATAAACATATTCTATTCCATGTTTTATAGTGTCGGCAATAAGAATGCGCATCCATCGTAAGTATCAATTATCTAGGTTATTGTTCCAATTATATTTGATCTTTCGTAGTGTTCAATTGATTATTATCAATATCTATAAAGACAATCTTTCGTAGATAATCTAATGTATTTATTTATGATACTTACTTCGATCATAATGAAGTATCGTGGTATTTCTTTTAAAAAAACGAATACTTATTAGAAAAACAAAATTAATCAATTAAACGTACATTTGATCTGGTAAAGTTACAAGAAATTCTGTTGGAATGTTTATATTATCTTCAATATTAGGTTTTAATGTCAAACGTAATAAATCAAAATCTGAATAAGATTTGCCAATAATTCCAATACTACAATTAAATACTTTTATTTCAATTAAGAAATTTTATTGCAATCAAAATTACTTTTCTTTTAATTTAAATTGAATTTTTGGTAGAATTAATTGATTGTCTTTCATTCTGAATATTTAATTTTTACAAAACACAGAAAAAATAAATTTATAACGAATTAAAACTACATGCGAGGATTATCCAATGGATTTGGTGGTGCAGGTAAAATGGATGAATTTTTGTAAAATGAAGAACTGTAAGAAATATAATTTCATTAAAGGATATCATTGTTTTTTTTTCAAATTATTTTACTTCAATATTTGTTGTTTAATGAGACGTTCTCTTTTTTTTTTTTTATTGAGAAAATAGAAAACATCACATTTAATATCTATTTAGTTTTTTTACCGTTTCATTTTTTCTCTTTCTCGTATTTTATTTTCAATTTCTTCCATATTTAGTTGTTCATTTGTCTTTTTATCTTTTCTCAATGAATTATAAAATCTAAATTTAATCTTACTAGAAACTACATACTCTTTAAATGACGATATTGTTCTTCAATAAGACTTTGATTTCGACTTTTTAATTGTTTTGTTAAAATACCACGTATACAATTTTTACGTTGAGAAATAAATAATTTCTGTCTTTGATGATGACAAGGTGAATTTATATTGAATTCAAATCCATATAATTCATCATCTTCTACGAATTCTTCTATTGATAAATAGCATAGAATTTTGATAACAATCAAAAAAATCAAACCTTGTCTAATTAATATTACAATGAAATGTTTATAAATATAGAATAATAGAAGCAACTTACTCATTGAAATCTTTTGCTAAAACACTATTTAATCGATTTTTTGATGTCTGTTGTTTAATCAATCTATTTGATTCATTAGAAATTTTATTAAAATTCCAAAATATTGAACTTGTACGTCGTAAAGAACTTTTTTTATTCTGTATTTCACTTGTTCTCGTAATTGCAGCTTTTTTAGCCATTGATTTTGAAAAAATTTCAGTACAATCAATAAGTTTATGTCGATTTATAGAATTAATTAATATATCATTTTTCATTCGACCTTCTAAACTCTATGAAAAAAACGAAACTTCTCACAGAATGAGTGTTCCAGAAGTTCTAAAATGATTTTAAAATTCATTGTTCTCGCATTTGACAAAAGCAAACTCTTTGAAACTTTGACAAATTATTATACCTATTTAATACTAAATAATTACAAAGTTTGAAGTTTCGATATAAAATCGAAGCAACAAATATTATTCCCAGAATCTCTCTAATAAACATATGCCAAAATAAAGTAATGTTTTCTTTCATATGCAGAGAATTAGATAATTTACGAGACCTAACTTTTCGAAATGATCACAATTCCAAGCAAATGACATCTGTGACCTGTCATGCTATCAAACATGTTTTTGTCAATCGAATTCAGCCAAAGAATTATAGTGCAACACTAACCGACGTTTGGTCAATAGGAAATATCTAACCGTACATTAAAAGAAAAATTACGATGGTAGAAATACAATAATATTGAACACTTAAAAAAAAATAATATTAAAAAGAAATGTAACAAATTTAATGTTGTTTTATATCAATAAGTGATAGATAAAATACCAACACGATTAAAATTAGTAATCGATCACGATGGTAATCATACATTAACGAGCATTGATAACTTATCATATGTTTTTTTATTTCAAAAAGTTAGATTGTTTTAAAAATAATTGCCAAAATGTTAGGGAAAATTAAAAAACAAATAGTACATGATAGTATGGTTACAGATTCTCAGAAATAGTAAAAAGTAAAAGTTCCAAATAGTTCAGAACTTCTAAAACACTCCTTATCATCCTATTATATTTCTATATATCGATTTACTTCTGTCATTGGAATTTGAAGCATTTCAACATCACCATCAGCTCGAAATAATCTTAAATGTAAAATATAGAATGATTTAAAATAAAATTTTAAGTTATACCGAGCTAATTCATTACGAATTAAATCAAAATTTTGTCGATAAAATGTGATCCAAGTAAAATATGTTGAAAAAATAAAAAGAGATTCATATATAGTTCGATCAATATATGTACATGAATAATAAAGACTTATTACAAATATATATATATATAATATAAAACTTTATCATCGACTTAATTAATTCTTACTCGCCATTACGCATATGATGAAAATCTTTTAGATTAATACCTAATAATAATACAGCATATTTACAACCAAGTTCACGTAGACAAGCAAGTAAATTAGCATATGCAATACGAATATGATTTTTTTCCATTTGTGAACGATCACTATACAAAAAGAACAGAAAACAAAAGGAATTTTTTTTTTAAATAATCTTAAAGTTTTCATATTAAATTCACATATATCGTTCATTTTTTGATAAAGTATTATCCATTGTTTCAAAAAACCAATAAAAATAATTCAGTAAATATAAAAGAAATTCATGTACTTGTAGCATACTATTTAATCACATAAATTTTTTTCTTCTATTAACATAATTATTACCTCACATATTCTTCAAATTCAATTGGTATATAAAACATTTCACTCATTACATTAAGTGATGCTTCTTAAAAACAACAAAAAGAATATGTCTTTAACATTCTGTTTGACTGCTAATCGTCTCACATTAAATAGTATCACATCATTCTCTTTCAATCAGGTATTTTTGAGGTACGACTTATCAGGAAAAAAAACAATTGAATTTTAACCTCCTTTTTCTTACAGATGTTAGAAACGCTTTTGGATACCTACTATTTTCCTTTTCTTTACATATTTTTTCTCCTTCTCATAAAAAAAACCAAAATACGAAGCGTATCCTACAGAATACAGTTCTTTTTTGGAACTGAACTAAATTTTTGTAAGATATACAAAAAATCAACGATACGAAATTCTTTAAAATTAAAAATATACACACTTAAAGAAGTATATAATGCCTGTAGAAAAAATTTTAATTCGAGTAATTGTAGCATCTTCAAGAAACGGAGGCAATCCTGCAGGTTTATTGTGCAAAAATAAGGCTTCGAGAATATCTAGATAAAACAAAGAAAAAAAATTGCTGCTCTCATATAGAATATCCCATCTTTTAGTTTTTTTTTGCTGTTTAAGTTATATTTTAATCCATAAAAAGCATTCAATAGATAAGAAACGCTTAGAATCATATTTAAAACAATAAAAACCTTAAAGATTTTAGATTTAGAACACAGAATTCTCTTGAATATTTCATCATCGCTCAATTCAATGCTAACCTACAGAAAATAGTAAGTTAACACTGTCTTTTCATTTAGTATCATTGCAAATCTAATAGATGCTTCGATCACTGTACTTAACAATCGACCTTGATATTTAATCAGAGATCAATAATCAGTCAAATAAAATAAATTATTTATACCGAATATGTCTAATAAACATATTCTAACCTAAAACTTTGTTTGCTTAGAATTCTATATTCATTAAATATAGATTTATATCAAATATCCTTTCAAAAAAAAACCCGCTAAAATCAAACTAACGAATAATATCATCGAGTGTAATTTTGTTATTATCTTTTGTTTTAATAATATATTGTAAAGGTCGATTTTGTTTTCGATAATGAATTAAACCAGATCTTAGATCAATTTTTAATAATTCATTCGAACTTGACTTTTTATCATCATTCATTCGATGACGACTTTTAATCATATAACAATTAATCAATAGATTTTCAAGTTCATTTATACCTTTCATAGACAAGTTCTTTTCTCTTTTCATCCCATATCCATCGACCATCAATAGGAATAGATAATAACTAAAGATAAATATCATAGATTTTTCTTTTTTTATCTCTATTAATCAATCACCAACTTGATTAGTACATATCTCTGTTGGCCTATCCGAATTTTGCATCATTTACAAAAATATAATAAATTTAAAACAAGAAAAGAAAAGGCGCTTCTATGAATCAATTAAAGTGTTTTTTTTTCTTTCTTCTGTGAATAAATAGAAGCAGACAACGACAATCTTGTTTTATATATACATATACAATAATATAAGAAGAACCACACACATTTAAACACCGAGACATTCAAAAACAAAAAAAAAAGAAAAGAAAAGAAAAATCTTGTTTATACATCACTGTTATGTAAATATTATTAAGTGTCAATATTGCACATCAATAATTTCATCTTGTTCATCATCTTCATGTGATGAAATTTCTGCACATATTTCTTCACTACTTATACTACTACTATTACTTCTTATAGTTGTTTCAAGATGTTGAGTTGGTTGATGATCAATAATTGTTGTTGATTGTATTGTTGTTGATGATGATGATGATGAAATATCATGAGTTTTTGAATGTTTTGATAAATGATCCGAACGCATAAAACGTTTACCACATTTTGGACATGCAAAACGTTTTTCACCAGTATGTGTACGTAAATGACGTTGTAATTCATCTGAACGTGTAAATGCTTTACCACAAAATAACCAATGACAACGAAATGGACGTTCACCAGCATGCCAACGAAGATGAGCTTTTAAATGTGATGTTTTACCATAAATTTTTTTACATATATGACATATATGTTGACGTTTTGATGTTGACGAATCTGATAAAATATTTGATGGTTGATTTATACAATTTGGACAACGACAACGTTTACATCGTCGTGTTACTGAACCAAATAAACTTGATGAATGTTCATTAACACTCCACCATTTATCTGAAGATTGTTTTGATGATTCTTTACGTAATGATACAGATGTTTGAGGTAGAGGTGGAGGTAATAATGGTGTTCGAAATGCTAATGAAAGTGTTGGTGGTGGAGAATTTGAACTTGAATTGAAAGAATTTGATGATGATGATGATGATGATGATGATGATGAACTATTGGGTGAATTTGATGATGAAAGTATTGCAGCAAGTGAATGAGGATGAATTGGTGGTGGTATTGGTGGTGGAATTGGAGAAAAAAAATCAACTGCATTAAGAGGAAATCTTGCTTGTAATAATTGTAATGCTTTATGTCGAATAATAGCTTCTGTATGTAAACGATCTAATGGTAACCATGTTGATGAAATTGGTGATGTTGGTTGTTTTTCAGTTTTAGTTGTTGAAATTGAACGTGGATTTAATGGTATAGGTCGAGCAATAGTTGGATGAGACATTATATTATTTGTTCGATCCTTCAAAAGACGAAAAAAAAACAAATGAATAATTAAATAGTCAACATATAAATCATTTGACTACTAATTGAACGAATCGGAAATGGTAATACGATGATTTCTCATTTGTCTATCAATCATGCGCACATACACCCGTCATCTTTCTTTTTTTGAAGTTCCACCTCCGAAGAAGAAGAAAAAAAAAAAATATATATATATATATATATACGATCCCATGCATTTATTTTTCAAGTGGCTCGTCATTGCTAACGAGCTGAAAAAAATCGGATAGTGGGTGGGAAAAAAAAAAGATCAAAAGCCGACAAGATCTGAATATATTTATATCAGCTAATTTAGTTTGAACAAAAGCAGCACGTGTGTATTTGCCTTGTTGTTCAGGACTCATTATTCGATGCCGACGACATACACTCTAATGTGATAATCTGTCGGTAAGTAATTCAAATTGCTACTGCCTATATTCATTCCTCTTTTCATTTTTTTTCTCTTTTTGTTTTTTGAAGATGACGAGTATAATATATGTTCGGGTTAGTATCAACTTAATTGGACAACAAGCGAAGTGAGAGGCGGGCGGGCGGGCAGGCAGGCAGGCGGCTCGAATGTTTATGCATCACATTGTGATGAAGTAGCGGTGCATATACGATTGATGATTAGTATGCAAATCGAAGAAAGCTTTAAGCTATAGCTGACCGTTCGTTTGATCATCATGATGATTGAGACCAGACGAAATAGTCTCATTGCCCAAAGACTTGTTTGTTTTTTTTAAATAGGATCTTTTCTTTTTTATTAGATATACAATTTACTAGAGAATTACAACAGCAACAGAAAAAAAAACCTAGATATCTGTATATAATATATTAAAAGAAACTTAAAATTTATGTTTGATTAATAAATCTTAAGATTGATTTTCTTATCATATACTAGTAAAACTTACCATGATCAAGTTAGTGGGCGTGGAAGACAAGTTGTGTGTCGGAATGAGAAATGGATGAGCCAAAAGGACCATTCTATTTTGTCTCTAATTCGATTGAATGCAAAATAGACACACATATTCACACCAGTCGATATTTCTCTCTTATTCTCTCTCTTTCTCTCTCTCTCTCTCTCTTCCTTTTTTAGCTTTTTTTAAAGCAGTGTATCTATCTTTGACTCCGCCTTTGACACCATGTACAGAAGAAAGACGAAACGCTTATTTCTATTTCTCGTCTTTTCTCTCTTTCCTTTTCTCTTCTTTCTCTATAAATGAAGATGTTGTTTGATTACCCGTTCTCTCTTTCTGTCTCTTCTGTGAACATACCGCCCTTCGCGTCTCTTTACACATTGGTGTTCATCATCCTCCGGTTTTGATTTGTATTGGTTGTTACGATTAACAGAACGAGATATTAACCAATGAAAAAAAAATAAGGAAAAGAAAAAAGCCTAGCAAAAGAACAAGAAAGAAATAATATACTTTCGTTCTCATTTAATTTAGAGAGAGGGAAAACAACAAAAATTCGTGCAATAGAATAGGGCGGTGTCGATCAAAGCGAATAAAAACTTAATCTCAAACCGATCCTTTTTTTTCTTCTTTGAGCTGTCCGATGTGTTGTTGATTCAAATAATCAGTCGTCTTCTTCATCAACATAGAGATTATCGTTGTCTCTGGATAAATAGAAGTTTATAAAATGAATAATTGAATCAACAAGTATTTCGAAAACAAGACAATTGAAAAATAAAAAAAAAATAAAAAAAAAAGAGAAAAGAAAGATTTTCCTAATTTATTGTGCTTATTCCTTTTCTTCTGTGTTGTTTCTTTCACGCGCGTTAACGCACTTAAAAAAAAAAAGTTCAAACGAGAATAGCGACACACAAACATACGTATATGAAGTGCCGGCAGCTATTTTGCCTCTCTCGTTCCATATACATCAAAATGTTCAGATTAGAATGAAAGGCATACATATGCGTTCACGCGCGCGCCTACTCTCTCTCTCTCTCTCTCTCTCTCTTTTTTCCCCTTGATGATGAGTGGGTAGTGAGTAGTCGATTTCAAAGACAAGCAAATATAAACAATCGGCAATTGAGTGTGAAATCGTGCACATATGAGTGTCGAACCGGTAGCATTCACGTCTATAATCATTGAAAAATCAATAATTTATATATATAGGTCTAGTATAAAAAAAATCAACGTGTCGTCAATGGGTGGTGTCACTTGCATGTCACATTTAAAAAGTGAAAGAGGACGGTCGGTGTCGGTCTAATCTTCAAAAGAATCCATTTGACACATGTGTTGTGAATGTAGACATATAAGCATACTTTTAAAAATTAGACCGATCTTCTTCACTATTGAATTTTATTGCCTGCCTGCACACTTTTGTCACACCTATTATCATCATCATCATCATCATCATCACCTCTTTGGTGTTCATACATGCAAAACACACGTGCGGGAAATTTTTTTTTCAAACGGAAAACTATATCCTATGCCGATTTGAAAGTATATATATATATATATACTTATACTTGAAGTAATTATCATTATCGCATTACTATTTAAAAGTCGGTATTCTTTGAAGAATAGAAATAAGAAGAAATGAGCTGCCACACCCTAAATCTCATTTTTCTTCCATTTCTTTAAAGTCAAATAACTAATTTTGAGTAGATGCACGCATGCACACGAAAGGTGTGAGAAGATGTAGATCAGAATTATATTGAATGAGAGAGAATGACCTTTTCACTCAAGGGATTCGTTTGTCTTTTTCTTTTTTTTGCTTTTAAGATTTTTTATTTTAATTAAAAAAAATATCAAAATTGAATACTGTTTTCTTTTTTTGAATAAGACATTTTCTCAATAGAATATAGTTTTCTTTTTTGCTTTTCTATCCTTAGATAAGAATGTTGCCATTAATACGGAAATTCAATCGTGCTTGAGAGATTCCAAACAAATCTAACAAGGAAAGTGATGCGCTTGTGTACGTGCCGTTTTGATGTCAAACAGTGAAGTTCGTTGATTAGTTCATTTGCCCTGCCCTCATCATCATCACAGTTAGTTTGTCTATCTATCTATCTATCTATTTATTCTGCATGAATCAAAGTTTTTTCTTCTCTGTCGGTTAAATCATTATGATCAATAGTTTGCTTCATCGGTCAGCAGGAGGTCTGATATACATCACACGTCTTGTCGCACTCCCACTTGTCTATATAACTAGCCGTTCATTCTTTTTTTTTTTTTGTCTATATTTGTGTGTATGTTGAAACAGGCGGTTCCAATCACGCCTTTCGTTTCGACCGCAAGGGGATAAGGCCAATCAAGGCAGGCGGCATAAGATAAAACGACGTGCAACAATACATATACACGGTCGCCCTTTCACACCATCATTCCGGTTGCTTGCTTTTTGTTTTTCTTTTTGTCTTGACCACTTTATACACAACGTAGTAAGCTCTCGAATGAAAGAGAAGATTAAAATGTAATGAAGAGAAACGCTTCAATCAACATCAATATAGACTAATAATAGGTTTTCTTCTTATTTTTTTACTTTAAAACTTGACCTTGAAAAATTATCCACTCACATAAATCTGAAGATTCATTTTCCTCTTCTTCTTTTTTTTTGTCTGCATTCAAATCAAAAAAAAATCTATTGATTCATTGAACTGGCAGCAATTTATCGGATTAGGTGTGCAAGTACTTTCATCATCGTCTCAGTTTCAAAGTGCATCCTCTTCTTGTGTTTCCACTTGATTAACGT